AACCTACTAGACGCACCTCTTCTAATACACCCCAGGATGCCATTGGCCTTCTTGGCCACGAGGGCACATTGCTGGCTCATGGTCATCCTGCTGTCCACTAACACCCACAGGTCCCTTTCTCCTACACTGCTCTCCAGTAGTTCAGTCCCCAACCTGTACTGGTACTTGGCATTGTTCTTTCCCAGGTGCAAAATTCTGCACTTGCCCTTGTTGAACTTCATAAAATTTCTCCCTGCCCAACTCTCCAGCCTGTCCAAGTCTCTCTGAATGGCAGCACAACCTTCTGGTGTGTCAACCACTCCTCCCAGCTTCATGTCATCAGCAAACTTGTTGACAGTGCTCTCTAATCCCTTGTCCAGGACATTGATGAATATATTGAATAGTACTGACCCCAGTACTGACCCCTGAGGGACTCCACTAGATACAGGCCTCCAGCTAGACTATGCCCCATTGACCACAACTCTCTGACTTCTTCCCCTCAACCGATTAGTGACCTACCTCACTACTCAGTCATCCAGATCACACTTCCTCAGTTTACCTATGAGGATGCTGTGGGAGACGGTGTCAAATGTCTTGTTAATATCCAGATAGAACACATCCACTGCATGACCACCATCCATCCACCTGGTTATGTCTTCATAAAAGGGTATCAGGTTGATCAGACATGATCACCCTTGGCAAAGCCACGGTGACTGCTCCTAATGACCCTCTTATCCTTGATATGCCCAGAGACAGTGGCAAGGATAAGTTGTTCCATCATATTTCCAGGAATGGAGGTGAGGCTGACAAGGATATATTTTCAAATGGTTGTGGCTCTAAGAAAATTAAAATGTCTTGAAGAACACATTTTTGTCCTGCTTCTTTGATTATACATTCCAACAGCAAATTCCAGCTCTTCTTATTTTGATCACCATAAGTAGAATCCATGCTATTCTGGGAAAATTCAGTGTAGTACTGTTATTGAAATACCTGTAGTGGAATTTGTACATATGGAACTTATTGTCTCATGGATTGCATCATGACTCAGCTAAATAAATGAGTTCACTCCACACACGGAAGTGTGAAGTATTGCAATCAGTGCAAATGGGGAAAGTTATATCTATTAACTTCGCACTCCACAACTTGTGCTGCTATACATGCTAATTTCACCTGAATCAGCCACTGTACTTGATCCAGTGCTCTACATTTTACTTAAGGCCAATACAACTTTATATTCTGCTGACACGTTATGCATCATAATTGACCTATACAATTAATTAAAAGCAATGAGGAAAGTAAGTGGAATTTAACCTTAATCAGTGCCCAAAGACATCAGAATGTCTGATGTCACCCTGAAACATCAGGACACGCAGAACCAGATTTATTTCAGGTAAGTACCAGAAAGTTTTAATGTTTATCAGTTTCTGAACTACAAAAATCTGAAAATATCATGAGGAAAGGATATGACAGAAATATTTGCAGCAGTTTCTGCTGCCAAGGTGTTTGGTTTAGGTCAAATACAAAAGCAATAATTTTCTTACAGGGTTATTCGTTCTTGATTACTGTATAACTGAAGAGTTCTAAGAAACTAAGCACATTTTCTTGGATGAACTTGATTGAGAAGTGAAACAAAGAAAAGTAAAAGAAAAAAAAAGATTACTACCATTCTGAAAATGTAAATTAACACCAGAAGTTGAAAACTGTACAAAAACTGCAGAATTACAGTTTCTCTCTCATGCAAACCATTGCTTACTCAAATAGCAGAAAACCACCATGAAATTTAGCAGTCTCCACCAACAAAAGGAGCTAAATATTAGCCCAACAAGACAATTATTAGGCTTCAATGGAAATACAAGCGGTCAGACATGTTAACACAGAAACTGCAGTTTAACAGGCTACTGCACAGAAATAGGGCTGATCATCCATGTGTACCCTTAGAAAGGGGGAAATGCAAAGTGAGGTAAGAGTCTTATCCGTCTTTCATTATCCGCTAAGTTATGTATTAAGTACCTGGATCACAGGTCTAAGCTTTATATCAGCTGAGATTTTAAAATACTTGGCCAGCACTTTAAAAGACATCAGGAGTGTATGCCCATCAAGAGATCAAAATACAGAGCAAAAAAGGAAAGCTAATAGCAGGTCATTAATAGATATTAGAAAATCTGTCCAGGAAAAAGGTGATAAACTGGTTATTTCTTAGAATAACTTCATGAACAAATTATCAGCCTCCAAAAGACGCTCAGTTCTTACCCCTCAATAAGAAAGATGAACAACCAAATATGGAAAAGACATCAGTGTGTTGGATATTTCAGTGTTAGCGGCTCACATGATTTTTCCCAAGAACATTGTTATGTGTTTGTTTGTTTTTTGTTATGTTTTTATTTTTCCAGATTCTGGATAACAAATGGGAAAGCTCTTGGACTGCTGGAAGATAATATGCAGTTGAGTCATTCTCATTGAGCTTGAGAGTCTAGAAAAGTATTTATGCATGATCTTCAGTTCTGGGCACCACTCGCTGTCTGTGGAGGTTAACAAGAAACTGAAAGATCAGGAGACTGAAAGGTTTTTCTAGGTCAAGGCTGGATAGCCTTCTGTGTCTCTTCCATACGGTAGAAATCACATCTGTGTAGTTTGTTTCCTTATCCAGTCAACACTCAGAAAATACATTGGATACAGTCTTTTGCATAAAAGGATCCAGAGATTTTTGCATTGTCATAAAAGAGAAGTAAATTGGAGTCCACCTGAAGAAGACAGTTTTATGTGGCTTGGAATAAAAAAAGTTAAGGGAGGAACCTAACTGCAGCCTTCCACCACCTACAAGTCATTTTTAAAAAAGACACAGGCTGCTCTTCTCAGAGATACACAGTGAAAGGACAAGAAGCAATGATAACAAGTTACAGCAAGAAAAATTTCAGTCGGCCCTAAGGAAAATGTCCTTCACGATGATAACGGTGAACAGACTGAACAAAAAGGATGTTGAATCTTCATCCTTTGAGATTTTCAAAAGTCTCCTGGATAAGAGCCTGAGCAAATGATCTTAATTTGAAGGCTGCCCTGTTTTAAGCAGAAGATCGGACTACAAGAGCTCTTTATGACCTTTTAACCTAAATTATTCTGTGGAACTTTAACTTCTCTTCATGCTGAAGTACTTTGCAAGAGTTGAAATTTCCATTTCCAATATTTTTTATAAGAGTCATCCTTGAAGGGTACATGTCCATAAGGGAAATACACTGATTGAACACACACACCTTCCATGGGAGTTTTAAATTTCTCAATGCACTGAAGGCAGAAGAGTTCTAGCTATGGATTTTGGTCCCAGGAAAATCTGCAGGTATCAGACTCCCATAATTGCCCAAAAGAAATACATAATGGATCATGTATCATCATAAGGAAGTATAAATTACCACTGTGATTGCTTTGAAAGAAAGCTTGTAAACTCAGTTCAGCGAAAACTAACTGAATCGTTCTGAGAACAGGAATGTCAAAAGTTTAATTTCAATATCAAAATAAAAGATTTCTAATAGTCCTAATGTGTCTTCTTTATAATGTGCATCTCCCAGAAAACTTATAAATGTCAAATTTCCTCCTTGTTTCAGGAGAAAAACCACATGTGAAAAGACAGAAATTCCTGCAAGACAGAAATATCATGGTTTTTTCAGCCATACAACTGAATACTATTGAGCTCTATTCCTCTAAAGAGCTCCGAACATTTTTGAACTACAATGCAAACAGCACTACTACCATCTTTCCATAAATATTACTGAGCTGTGATCCAAAAAATGTGGAATCACTCATGGCCATCTCTGCCTATTATGGCTTACTGCCTTCGCTCAGTGGTTTTAATTAAGGTATTGTGAGTGTTCACATTTACAAACAAAAAAACAAGAAAACTGAGCCTCATGATTTTTTCCCTGTGATCTAATATGAGGTGTTCAGTTGCAGAAGGTAAATTACAAAACAGACATGGTGCTTTCTTTACAGAGACCTGTCTGAAAAACGAAAATTTTCTTTTTTTTTTACAAAGTGAATCTTTTTGACCAGAAAGCACTAGTTAGTCTACAAACGAGTGCATATGGTTGTACTGGTTTTGGCTGGTAGAGTTAATTTTCTTCACAGTAGCTGATATGGTATGATGTTACAGATTCATGCTAGAAATAATGTTGATAACACGGGGATGTTTTAGTTACCACTCAGCCATTTCTGCTCCTCACCCCACCCCAGCAACAAGTGGGCTGGGCGTGCACAAGAAGTTGGGAGAGGACATAACCAGGACAGCTGACCCCAACTGAGCAAAGGGATATCCCACACCATATGACATCATTCTCAACACATAAAGCTGGGGAAAAAGAAGGAAGGCGAGGTGACACTTGGAGTGACGGTGTTTGTCTTCCAAAGTCGCAGTTACGTATGATGGAGCCCTGCTTTCCCAGAGATGGCTGAGCACTGTCTGCCTATGGGAAGCGATGAATGAATTCCTTGGTTTGCTCTGCTTGGTAAAGCTTCTGCTTTACCTTCTAAACTGCTCTTATTGGAACCCATGAGTTTTCTCACCTTACTCTTCCAACTGTCTCTCGCACCCGATCTTGGGGGAGAGTGAGAGAGTGGCTGAGTGGGGCTGAGCCACACAACAACAACAGTACACAAAAATGTCCGAGGATGATATAGTCATGCAGCAAAGGGGAGAGAGGATCACCAACATCATCACTTCACAAGAAATGACAGCATTTTGTCAGGAATGACTTTTAAAACATCTTACTTAACAAAGTTACCTTTTTCTCCTGGAGGCCCAACTCTTCCCGGACGACCTGGCGCACCTTTCTCCCCCTTTACTCCAGCTTCCCCTGTTGATACAATGGGAAACAATAAGAAGAATCATTAAAGCAGGACTATTTTCTGTTGGTGGCAGTAACAAGAGTGCCATTCCCCTAAAGGACATAGAAACCTACTATAACAAGAAGGGGGGAAACAAATAAAAGCAGAGGCAATCTGATTTAACAGCTTTATTTGGTGCTTGGAGAACAGAGTTTCCTGCAATTGCCATAGACACTGACAAACCCAAAGCCAATTAATTACTGAAGTCTCATACAACAGGTCTAGTTTTGAAGATGTTACTCATATTATCAAACTCCAAAAAGCCCAACAGCACAATTCACTTAAGTAGAAGCTTCAGAATCAGGCCCCAACTTGGCACATAAACTTCTTGTGTTCACCAAACACTTCCTGACTATCCGCTAAGGATATGCTTAAGTCCCAAGTGAAAATGGCTCAACTATAACCTCAAATTAAAAAAAAAAAATTAAAAAAGTTTACATCATTTACAGAGGCCTATAGGCAGGCATTGCTATATCCATCATTTAAAGGATCATTTTTAGGCAGAAAGAGTATCTCCTAATCCCCATTCTCAGTTATTTACTGTGCCTGTGCCTTTTAATGTCTGGGTATTGCACTTAGATGCACATGGCTTCTTATAGTGCATTATTATATTCAACATATTCAAACCTCAGCTGATGTAAACGATTGCCTCCCTGGTGCTTTTCATGAGAAATTTGGGGATGCTTAGCTTGTTTTGCCTCCTACTATTGTACTACTATTGCAGTTTGCTATTGACATAAAATTAAAATCTCTTAAACAAATAGAAGTTTCAAAAATTTTTTACATAGCCACCTTTACACAAAAGCTTTGTATCAAGGAGAAGAAAGTTCTATGGCTTCCATAGAAAAGAAACTGCCACAATCTAAAAGGCAGAGCTAGCACAGAACCCCTGATGCCCCAACACCGTATTTCTATAGAGGAAAGTAGAGCACTACCTGCTCCCCAGAAAGGTGAAGGGAGCACCATGGCAGAAAAGTCAATGCTTATCATGCACCCCTTGAGCTCTGCTCTCATAGCTGGCAGCTGTTGTTCAGAGGGAGAGCACAGAGATGTAAAAACAAGCCACAACATGTCACGTTTCAAATATGCAGCCTCCAGCTCTCTCTGTCTCTCTCCTTATTGTAGATATGGGTGGCTGTGAGCTGAGCTCCATCTGTTATATTCTCCTTCTTGTGGCTGCCAGCAGGCTCCAGACCCTCTTCCCTGCCTTCAGAAATGCAAAAATAGGCCATTCTCTGACCTTAATGAGGACAAACTCCACATAATCCCCAGTGAATAATATTGTTAGTATGAAACAGGCTATTATTCGGCACATTTGGGAACGTCACTTTTTTTATTATCAGGTAACCAATAGGCTTTGTATGATTGCCTCTCCCCCCTCAGGGCTGGTTATGAGTTCCTTGCTTCCCAAAGATAAATCCTGACAATGACTTTTCCCTGCTCTCTGGAGGCTGAGAGCAGGTTATTACAGCCTATTGCTTTACATGTTCTTCAGAGTGAAAGCTGTGCATTAGGGATCAATAAAATAGATCACTCTTGCTTCAGGCCATTACACCTGCCTGCATTTATTCCCATAATAAGATGACACTGCATTCCTTAGTGTGGGTGTTCAAGAAACTTTCCCTGGGAGGAGACTACTCCATCACAGGCCCAGCTACAGACCACTCTGCATTTTTTATTACCCGTTTTAAGCAGCAAGACCTCCGCCAAGTGGTCCAGTTCCACTTTGCAATGTTTAAGTCCCTATTTTTTCCTGTATGTACCCTGAGCAATGTGCAAGCTGAGGAAGCAAAGCCTGTGCAGGTGTCGTGGGCAACAAAACAGTTTTCTGTTAAGGAATTGCAATCAATTTAATTTATCCCCAGTTAACACTACCTTTCAACTTTTTATTTCTAAATTAGGGGAAAAAAATTAACTGAGAGAAAAACAGATCTGCACCCTCCTTCAGGTCTCCAACCCCTGTGCCACACATTACAACCAGTCCCTTTGGAGCAGGAGGCTGGGATCAATGCATCGTGGTCTCTGCCTAGTTACTCCCGCATGGCCTCCTCCACCAACCACAGCCCCTCCTGCGCAGTCTCCTCTCCATCCCTTCCCTTCCATGAAAAGTACTTTCTTCTTCAGTGCAATGCATCTCACCCACACAGCTGAGGTGGAGCGAGACGTGCCCAGCAGTGCCCCGCAGGGCTGTGATGCCCCAAAAGCCCTGCTGCCCCGCTGGGCTGCAGCAGGATTGCAGGTATCAGGCACAACCCTGACACTAGCACAACCTTCTTCTCCCATCCTCTCCAAGAGAGATCTTTCACACTTCAGACAATGTCTTCCTTTTGCTGCTGACTTGCCTTCTTTTCTGAATTCTTTGAGACAGACTTGTCTCTGACTACGTTTGCATCCTGCCCACCTTGAGATGTACCACCTACTTTAACGAAAATAGCATGCCAACTATTAACTATATGAGCTTTAAACTTTCCTTGGATGGTGATAGTTTCTTCCATTACTCATATTCCCTGTGTGAATAGACACATCAAGTGTAGGCATAAAATAATTCATTTTAATTCAATTAAATTAATTTTTAATTTCATTTTAAATTTCATTTTTAGTTCATTTTAATTCATCAACTTTTTATGTACTGTATGCTATTGAAACTAGTAAGACAATTCCTGCTTTAGATTTCAGAATAGAGACAAAACAAGGTGGAAAACTTAGCATTTAAGCTAAGGACTGTTTCATATTACTTTTTTCTCCACAATAGCAGTAACTTCAATCTCACGGGCCTATCAAAAGGAACCAGACTTTAGGAAGAACATGAGTGAGCAATGTAGTGAGGCTTCATCATCCATCACTTCTTCACACACAACACATTTTTCCCATTATTAATATTGTCAGATTTCTAAAACACAGATCAGTCTGCTGTCTGGATTCTCAGAGCCACAGTATTTTCCCTTCTGCATTTCATCTTACTCCTTTATACTGTTGAGGTTTAAAAAAAAAATAGAAAAAAAAGAAATCCCTAAGACCTAAGCTGCTGACCTTAAACTCATTTGTGCCTTTTTCTATTCTTAGTGTCTTCAGTGGCTGTCTTCATCTTCCATTTCCACCTCCATTCTCATCTCATCCCCCTTCCGATTCCCCTTTTTATTCTATGGGGTCTTAATTGGCTTTGTGTCATTTTCTCATTTCTTTTTTTCTTTTTTTTTAAGTTTCCAGTCTCTCCACTCAGTTTCATTCTTCATGTCCTTCTTTTCTCTTTTCGCTTTATCTCTTCCTGTTCTTCCAAAATTTCTCCATTATGCACTTTTTGGATACTTTCCCCTTCCATCTTTCTCCTTCACCACCCTGTTTGGGCTCCACTTCTTGCATCACCTCTTAGGCTTAACCCTCTTTTCCTACTTTTTCCCCTTTCACACATCCCATGTGTGAGGTGTCCCTCATTTCCTTCCATTTCTTCCTTGCACCTGTTTTTTCTCAAATCTTGACAGGCTCATGCCCAGCAGCAGTGCAGGGCTCTGTTCCTCCATCACTGGGGCCAGCAGCCCAGCAAAGGAGGAGATGGGACAGATCTAAAAGCCCCACCGAACAAATCCTGCCGCGTGGAAGCCGAAATTTGGGCATGCAGCCACATATATGCTCAGTTTAGAGGAAGCCTTGGCCACCAAAACGGGTTGGAGTTGTGCCAGCAGGGGACAGCAGTATCTCATTACCAATTCTCTGAGCCAGCTCTCCTGACAGCGTAGCTGGAGCATTGATAGCTTTTTAGGGATTTCACATTAACTTGGGGCTGTATCAGGCCATTTTGTGCTCCGTTGAATTCGTACATCAATCTCTCTCACTTTTGCAAGGCTTACAGCTCATGAAGCAGAGTGAAATCATTAACACATGATTGTTTTCAGACCTCTCTGTTGTTTCCTGGCTCAGGATTGCCTTCTGACAAAGAGATGGAGTCCTGCACTATTTATACACTTTAAAAATCTCTGTTGCGTATAATAACAATGGGCCTCACATAAAAATGGTAATCATAGATGTTAATTTTGACTGATTTCACAAATAAGGAAACTAAAGCAAAAAAGTTACCAAAAAAAAGTTACAAATCTCCAGTCCCCAGTACTGTGGAATCTGACCCTCCGACTGACTTTCCATGTAACTTTAGGCAACATATAGGTAAGTTGATTGTATTCTTCTCTGTGAGTCACATCAACAGCACCATCTGATGCCTATTTGACAGCAAATACACCAAACAAATGAAACAACTACACTCAAAGCTTAAACTTCAGAAGGTCTGGATATAGTGTTGTTCTTCCTAACTAGAACATCTACAGATGTAAATATTATTAAGACTTGAAAGCCCACTTACTGAAGTAAAATTAAAAAACATAAAAACATAGATTTTGGTTCAGTTCAGGCATCCAAAGCTGCACCTGTAATGATAGAAAACAAGACAGGAGAGCTTTCCTGGTCCTGAAGTCAATTTGCCAAGCACAACCCATATCCCTACAGCCCAGAAGCAAGTCCAGCATTAGGCAGCCATGTCCAAACCAGGCAATGTCTGGAAAGGGCAGCTCAAACCACAGCCAAACCTGTGGCCAGGCTGTGCTCACAGTTTAACTGTATGAACAACTGCAGGACAGAGCTGAGCCTGGCCCTCACCAATCAGTCAGACAGCGGAGACAGTGCCTGCAGTCCATGCTACAGTGCTCAGGTAACTGGATAAAGCCCAGGTTTGTGCTAGATAACACTAGTGGCATCGATATTTTTTACTCTTGGGACACTATGACGCATAATTACCAGAAAAAATGGAAGATTATTTGTGCAGTTCTTAAACAATGCTTTTTTATTGTTTATTATTGTTAATGATAAACTGGGGATTTTCATGGGAGTTTTTGTCTTTATTTAATGGGTATTTCCCCACACTCACAGATGTTACAAATATCATAGCTTCCACAATGGGAATTACTGTTACTGACTAAATAGGGCTGGGATTTTGCAGCATAATGGATGCTGTTGCTTTAAAATGGTAATTTTTCCCAGTTGTTGATTTCCTATCCAAGGTGCATTTTTTTTTTTTTGCTACAAAAAGATCAATAATTTATTGTGCCGTTTCTGGGGGGCAATAGCTTGGGGTTATATTTTTTAAAAATGTTCCTTCTGTCTATAGAAACTGTAGAAATTCCAAAAAGCTACCTTATTCATTCTTGCTTCTAAAAGGCACTTAAACATTTAAAAATCAAGGGAAGACAAGCTAGAAAATACAAAATACTTCCCATTACATTGCAAAACAGCAATGAAAACCTCTTCAGGTATAAAGTAGGTCCTGATTTTACAGTATTTGGATATATGTACCATTCCTAAGTACAAACAGAGAGAAAGCAGCCAGGCAGTGTATCAGAGTAACAAGCACTACTGATCAAGAGCAGGTCTGGGAAACTTTGGTTATGTTTATTTTAACAGACTTAAATTCATCTTATGGACTTTAAAACTCCACTTTTTAAGGAGGCTACAAATAGGACAAATATCAGGACAACTGAAAGGCACCTTCTTCATCTCTGATAGAAAGTCAGTGGTACAAATGAGCCTTTTAGATAGAAAGGATTTAGAATTTGAATGATCGAATAGGCTTCCACATTACCTTTGAGGCCTGGAACGAGAATTTGAACAGAGCAGGACTCTTCTGCAATATGTTGAGGATATCCAGACCTTAGCAGTGACAGGAAGGCAAGGCTAATTAGAGTCACCAAGAAAACCAGATCTCTCTTCATAATGAGCACTTACAGGTCACTGACTCCTAAGCAAAAGAATGAATAAACAGTTATAAGAATTCCAAAGACTTTCTGAACATATGCAGAATTGTACCACAAATACAACATATTTTTGGGTGCCATAACCCACACAGCACTGTAAGAATATGTGCAAGTCCTTTGAGCAGGTTGTACTTTCCACAAACATACAAGAAACATGCATCATCACATTCAGCAGCTTGTTTTGGTGTTAAGACTGGGTGAGAGAAAGCTCAGAAGAAATTTAGTTAACAAGTGGGAGATTAAGCAATGCTAATAAAAGAGGCAATTCTATGTTCACAATTTCTCACGGGAGGCAGGGATCTGGAATGGTCAAAGGAGAAAATACAGTACACAGGCTTGCACTGAAAGACGTTAGTATTAAGTTGCCACTTAGAAAGAGTGCATACTGCTTTAAAGAGGCAATTCAGCAGACGATGAGACCAATCTAAAGGCCTGAAATTTCACTTCCCATCTACCTGAGCACTGAAATTGGGCCCAACAAATTGTCTGATACAATAGCCCTCATGCAACTCATCGAGGGTGGAAGGTAGATAATATTTCACTATACCATGCAATGAAGTTACACCAAAGTCTTCAATAAATCCTGAAAAGATTCACCTCTGAAACATACCCTTGTTTAAGCTTACAAGTGAAATGGCTTGCCTGATGTTAGGCTGTGAAGAGATGACTCAGAAAACAACAGTACAGAAATGGAGTTTGCGTGAAATGACCATCAAAAGCCAGTATTTAGGGGGTCTGTAGCAATACCCTTTGACAGAAGTGTTATTTATGTACTTCTGATATGTTTTTTCAGTCCTTTTTTCCCCCAACATTCTGTACTACAGAAACAAGCTGAAAGTCATATCAGGGTTTTAAGAGAAAATACCTGTATGTCATCTTTTATAGCCACAATATAGACATGTGCATTCTAGAGCAGGAAGATTGTGCTGTATTACTCTCCAGTCCTTGATTCCCTTCAAAAATAAGTGAAGTACAATTAGGCAGGGGTCTGGGGCCAGTACATGGGTCTGTGTGCCTCAGCATGCTGGGCATCTAGGAGGGTGGATCTGTTATTTTGGGCATAGCTCTCCTTCAGTAGGGACAGGGTAGGGAGCTTCAGGGCAAGAATGAGCTGGTGAAGCAGATAACCAAAATATAAGGAAGGGATGGAGCAAGAGGAAAGCAGACCACCCTTCATGTGCAGCAAAATTCAGTTTTGCCTAAACAATTAAAAAGCCTTGCTCTAATTTTAAATTCCATAAGCAACTCTGATACGTTTCATAGATGTCTTAGTAGCAAGGCTAAGTAGATGACTTTGGAGTTTGGGGAGTAAATTTTTCCTCTGAATTGCTGTCCAGTTTGTGCTTCCATTATCATCTAGGCAATAAAATAAGTAAAATGCAGCAGGGAAGTCAGATAGGAGCTGATTTTTTCTCCCTCTTCATGTGAGGAGGGCATGGTATTAGTTATAGGAGAGGTTGCTCTGCCTCACAACACCCTTGCTACACCATCCAATACCACATCCACATCACAGGGCAGGAGTGCTCCACAATACATCCCACAGTTCTCACTGATTACTCAGATTTAGGTCACAGACTGGTGTATGCTGTGAGCCCCTTTGACCCAAATCTCCTTCCTAGCTTTTCTTCAAAAGGAGAGCAAGACACAGGAGGAGGACAGTCCCTGAAAAAGGTGGGGTCTGTGCCTGGACACGGGAAGAGCTCCTGGGTCAAGGGATCTCAATATAGTAATAGTCTAATGGGCTAGAGTGGAAACCCTTGGGAAAATCACTGGTCCTGGGTCATCCTTCTCTGGAGCAAGGGAGAAACAGGGATCGTCTGGGGATTTTCAAAGCTGCAACATGCCATGCTGCTGTAATGGGACAGGCATAAACTGCTTCATAGACAAGCTTTACCAGCCAGAAGGAAGACCCAGGAGAGTGATGACCAGAAGAAAAAAATAGAAAAAAAAATAGAAAGTTTCCACTAAGCTGTAATGTAACAATTTTATTTTCAAGGCCTCTGTTTCAATTTCCTACTACTTTTTAGTCTAGCAGATGACAATCTAGACAATCTTATTGGAGAGGCATTTAATACTCTCACCAACACTCTTGTCAGTTTACTAAGTATCCAAGTCATTTACGAAGTCTCCTCTCATTGCTTAGGGTGCAGGTTCTGGAGGGACAACATTCACGTTTACAGACGCTTATAACATTTTTTCTCCCTTTTTAAGAGTGATCAGTTCCCAAATTTTTTCTTGCATTACCACAGTCAAGATGACTGGAGCTCATATACACATCTGAATCAGCTTTAAAATACCTAGCTGGGAGCGCAGAAATCCACAGAAGCACAAACCTGGGCTGCTCAAGTATTTATCCGACTTTGTCACAGTTGCAGCAACATCACTCTAGGCTTGGCAGGCAAAATTGAAGTTTGCCACCCAATGATGAGGAATGAAAGCTGAAGGAAAAGGTATGTCATAAAGGTGGACATAGAGAACAGAAATATTTGGGGGGGGAGAAGAGTAATGAAAATCTGGAAATAAAGCTTCTACTGCCATGGAGAAGCAGCAACCAGCCCAGATCCCCAGGGCTCTGACAGACTAAATGACTGCTGTGTTTATATCCTCCGATATCTTGGGCTACTGCCTCCTTTGCCTTTGCACAGAACCAGTCCAAACTATTAGAAACCAGGCCACTGGTCATTTTACAGCTATTTTCTAAGGTTATACAAACTATTTGACAACAGTCTTGATACAGTTTTGAAGTATCAGACCACTGTGATAGTGCTTTTCTCCCAAATATACCAAAAAAATTACTCCACATACACAAAGCTTGAATCTGGCCATACTTCCCCAAAACGGGATTCCTAACACCAGGGTAGAAGGCACTGGGTGTCCTGGTGTAGTTTGTGACTGGAAAATTCATAGTATTAACAACGGACAGCCAGCCCTCCTGCTTTTTGCCAAGTCCCTGATTCACAACAGCCAGCAAGTGAAAGAGGGAGCAACAAAAACTAGCCAAGAGGAAAGGTTGAGGAAAAGAGTGTTTCTCCAGATCTTTCCTTCAAAGTCTTCCAGGGCCAGTCTTGGCTGGAAAAGTGACGGGGTCCATGGCGAGAATAAACTTTTTAATGCCGTGTTTGGGACCAATGCTCCTTACATGGGAAAGCAGGAATTTGTTGCCACAGCCAGCCAGGAGGACTGGGCAGAGACTTGTGCCTACAAGTCTCCTCCAGTCACCTGAACGTTAAGTGTTTAATGCTCAGCAGCGGCCACCTTTGAGGGACAAGGAGTGGGACCATCCTGGATGCACTTGATGATCTCAGAGGTCTTTTCCAGCCTCAACAATCCTGTGATTCTGTGACAGCCACACTGATGCTCTGTGGGCTGAGCAGGGAATGTGGGTCCCACCTGCCTTAGCCCCACAGCCCAGGAGAGCACTCAGCCACCAGTCTGCATGACATCCTTGGCAGGGCATCCCACCCTTCTTTTCTAGCTGGGCACTTCAGGATCCAGAAGATCAAACAACGAGGCTTTCAAGTCAAATGCTACAGACACACACCTGAAAGCCTGAAAATTACAAAGTTTCCACATGAGCACCCAGCAGGCTGGTGATAAGGATTCTTGACAGGAGAGTCAGAGAAGGGAATGAAATCGTCTGAGACAGGAGAAGGAATTGCAATTAGCGGGGTGCTCCAGTCTCTGCATTAGTGAATAAAAAGGCAGCATCACCTCCTCTGTTCGCATTATGATGTTTCAGATGTATCCAGACTACAACTGAAAGATCAAAGCCTCCAGGAATGTTAAATATTAATCTGCCTTCGCAAACTCCTACATGGCTCAGAGATGAGATAGGCATCGAAGAGCAGAGAACTGTCAGGGCTGCTTGGTGACTCTGCTCAGCAACCAGATACGAAGGATTTTCTGGGGAAAACAAAGCCTCCAAAGCTTCCTCACATTTCCCACTGCCTGCTGTTGCTGCAGGGCTTACAAGTCTCAGAGACACAGCCGATAGACCTCACCCTACCTTGGGATAGATCGACTTGCAGAGGAAATGGACTCATTCTAGAAAAGAGAGCTTCTTGGTGTCAGGTCACAACACCCAGACCCTTGTGAATATTGGGAAAATTACCTTAGTCTGAGAAAAGCCACTAACAGAGGAAATCTCTGAAGAGGTTGCAGATTAAATACTTTATAGAGTCTGCAGCTGCACTAAAGGGACACATTAGTAGTAGAAATCAAACCAAAAGCACTTTGGATATCACTTTCTCCACCTTTTCTGCTTTAAAAAGAAACCTTCTCCTCTGCAGCTAAAGTTACCTTATATGATTGAATAAGAGAGTTTGATCTTCAGGTATGTGCTACAGCAGTATCTTTCATTTTAAAATCCTGGAAAATTCTTTGCCTTTCTGACCTACCTTCAAGTCCTTTCAGACCCAGATTCATAAAGACATTCAGAAAACTAAATCCCACTGAAATTGTTCCTCAGAAAAAGGTGCCAATCTGTTTTTTTCAAACGCTATCTTAGCCCTGATATTTAGAGTATCAGTAAAACCAATGCCAGAGAGAAAACTGAAGATGTTCAGCACTTGTAAAAGTATGAATATTTTCTCAGTGGCTGTGCAGGGGTCAGGAGTCAAATTTGCAGTACTTATAATGGTGGCCATTAAATCAGCGGAAGCTGAATGCTTCAGAAAAGAATGAAAGGAGGATGAAAAAGCAGCATTTAAATGGTCTGTCTCAAAAAAAAAAAAAAAAAAGGCACAAAATGCCTCTATTCCCATTAGGAATGGAAACATACCAATGCAGCCAGCACAATAATTTCAAAATAACTTTTGAGACCTGTCAGCTTTAGGGAATCTGCCTTGGTTGCCAAGAGAGAAGTTTATTAAGCCAGGCTTGAAGTGACAAGTCCTTGAGAGGTCATCAGAAAATCCCCAAGGCACCACAGGTTCACTCAAAACCACTGTGGGACCATCCCGGC